GCGGGTCACCATCGCGAGTGGCTCGCGGTACTCCGTGTCGGCGATCAGGGGCGAGCGAGACGACGACCCCGCGGAGGCAGGGCAGGGCCAGGGGCCAGCGCCTGCTCTTCCTACTAGCTCCGGCCGGCTCAGCGCGCGCGCACCAATGAACACAAATGGACGGTTGGACGCACCGCTGCTGGTGCTGCTGGTGCGGGTTCCTAGCCCTTCGGCTTTTTATTACTCGCTGGCTGCACTCCCTGCCCCCGGCCCGGTCCCCCGGAACCGGAACGACCAGCCTGCCAAAACCAAAAACGCGAACGCGCCGGCGCCGCCCGCTCGCTCGTGGTGTTGCAGTTGGTCTACGATTTCTCCGTCTCCTAGTGGTGTGTGGCTGGCTGCGCGTGCGCGTAGATCCATGGAACACAAAAGGGCAACCGATACCGATCCAATCGTGCTCAAACCGGAGGATCCTCGGCGGCGCGCGAGGGTGAGGCCCATGTCTCGGCGGTAGCCGCCACCCGCCCACGTGCCGCAGCGGGAATCATCGGGTCCGAACGAACAGCGCGCGGGCGCGCGGGAATCAGCGGGACTCCGCCGAACGGCGCGAACGACGGAAGCGACGCCCCGTATATCCCGTGCCCTCCACTCTAACAAATTTTCATTGCTGGGCTTTATTACGTGTTGCTCCGGCCCATTAACAATGATACTTTTCTTTACTTGCCAGTGCTCATACAGAGTATGCGTTCGTGTTCGTTCCTTAGGATTGCTTTCTTTTTTTATATATATATATTTTCTATTTCCTTTTTATATCTTTTGTCTTTTGTCTTTTTGTATTTTTTCTTTTTTTTCTCTAATTCATTCTTCTTCCGTACTTCTTTTTATTTTCCTTAGTTCTTTATTCTTCTTTCATCTTTTATATTTTTATCTTTCTTTCATTTTTTTCTTTTACTATAATTAATTATTTTCTTTATTTTGTTTTTATTTTCATGTTTTATTATTTTATGTTTTTATTTTCTCTTCCCTTTATGTTTCTACATATTTGTTCATTCTTATTCTATTTTATTTTTCTCATTTTATTATACTGTAATTATATTTTTGTTTTCATATTTTATTTTTTATTTTTTATGTAGATATTATTATGTTCATGCATCATATACTGTTTATGTTCACATGGTGTTCTGTGATATATTTTGTGGTGTTCATGTTGTATATGTATACATACGATGTTCTATGATATATTATGTGATGTTCAAGTAGTATACATATGATGTTCTACGATATATTTTGTGATGTTTAGTGCTATCATGTGATGTTCTATGATGTATTTTTACGATGTTCATATAGTATACATGTGATGTTCTATGATGTATTTTTGTGATGTTCATGTAGTATACATGTGATGTTCTGTGATATATTTTGTGATGTTCGCATAGTATATATACATGTGATATTCTATGATGTATTTTTTTTATGTTCACATGGTATACATGTGATGCTTTATGACGTAATCTTGTGATGGTTTATATAGTATACATGTGATGTTTTATGATGTTTTTAGAATATTCACATTATATAAATGAGATGTTTTACGATTATCTTTGAGTATTTAAATAGTACCTATGAAATGTTTTATGGTATATTTTGGATTATTTTAAGTAGTAATCTCTGTGATGTTTTTTATGGTGTTTTTAGGTTTTCCCCTTTATTTCATCTATTATTTTTTATTACTATCTTTTTATATTGTTTTATCTATTACATATAGATGTCATATGGTATATTTCTATCTATATAAGCAATATTCTTGTAAGAGTTGAATTTTTCCTTAGATTTAAATGGTCTAATATAGATTACAAATAAAAGTATAAATATTTTATAACTAAAACAAAATATCTATATGGTGTAGTGGTTAGGAATAATTATCTCAATCTTTTGGTCTTGTGTTCAACTTCTTCCGCACACTATTTTCGGTTCTATTTTCTAATATATTTTTTTTTCTCCGGAGACGAACCGTGAAAGCGACGTAACGTGGGGACGAGCGAGGCAGGCACTTTCGTACGGGATGATGAGCGAGGCTAGGTGGGCCGAGCAACGAAGGGCGAGGCAGGTGGGCGCGCGCGCAGCCGAATTGATTTATTTATCGGCGAGTGGTTTTCCGTCCGAACGACCCGTGTATAGTATAGCAGCTCCCCGTGCGATCGGGGAGCGGCAGCCCAACAACCACCACGGGCAGGCCAGGGGTCAGGGCAATCGGCAGCGATATCGTCGTCGTCTCTCTCTGGATCTCGTGATGGGACTTGACTTGTCTACGCACGCTTCTCGTCCGATCCGCGGGACATCTGACCAAGGCCTTGTTTAACGAGTGTTAGAATCAGAATTAGACACGGTAGTATTTTCGTTTGTATTTGACAATTATTGTTCAATCATGATCTAACTAGGCTCAAAAGATTTGTCTCGTAATTTACAATCAAACTATGTAATTACTTATTTTTTATCTATATTTAATACTTTATGCATGTGTCCAAAGATTTAATGTGATGGAGAGAGAGTAAAAAAACTTGAAATCTAAACGAGGCCCAATGCATGGCTCTGGGTTACGCTCCTCTCAAGACGGGTCGACAGGAGCGCAGCACTGTTGGGCACAGCGGTGTGCAGCATATAAACGACACAAGTGGCGTACGTACGTGGACGTGGTGTCGCGCCAGCTTGTGCATGGACAACTGAAGGAGCTACAGAAACAAGGGGAGAATCTCTCAGCACAACGCATCTGCTGGTACACTGCAGGTACCAGCTGCTGCACTAGAGCCTGGAGGCACCAACAGGTGTTTGTGTCATCTACCACCGCTCATGCATAAGATACAACAATATAGGAGTACCTGCTAGTACTCTGCTACTACAAGCTGTTCTTTGAAGAGCTAAGCAAATCCAAGCAAAGACTGATGAACAGCGACAATTATTCGGGAAAGGCGTGACTACAATAGCTAGCTAGCGTTGGTCACTCCCTACAAACAAGCAGGGCACCAAGCGTCGATGCATCAGGTCGGCAGAATCGAAGTGATCTAGTGCCCATATGAGTTTTTCGTAGTTCCGTTTGTCAGATGCTCGAATTCAGTACCTCCTTTCAGTAGTTCTTCAACGGCTTTCTGAAACACATGAAACCGTATTGTCACCGAAATGAAACGCTAACAGTGAAAGATGGAAAGTGGTCCATGCTTTTGCATACCTCGACACATGTCAGTGCATACTGAACATCACTATCTGAAATTTGGTAATGGATGACCAAGCTAATACTGCATGACACAGAGTTCAACATAGAGTTTCAGTCAGACTAGGGATAGCAGTTCTTGTACTATGCAGCCTAGCTTGTTACTGAAAACTGAATACAATGTTGCAGAGACAGCCAAAACAATGTTAGGAATAAAGGATCAACTCGAAGAGTCAACATGTTAAATTCAAAATTACTCAGTAAGAGAGTAGAACTTCACCTTTTTGAACTAGCTGGCATTGCAAGCACATTGTGTTGTTCCAAGACTGCACACAGTTTGTCAGGTGATATTCTTGGATCCATGGTATCAAAGAATACCTTACAAAGAATTGATATGTGCATATAAGACCCTTATTCCAGTTAACAGTGAAAATCAGTAAGAGGATGTATAGCAGGTAGGCTAACCATATTTGTCTCGACCGAAGCTGAATCCACTGTAAGCTGTTCAATTTTCTTCAGTCCCTCTAAGAAAATAAACCAAGACATACAAATTTCAATATTAAAACTCCACAAACAGAACTAATGTTTATGTTGACAAGGATCATGTTCCTTTTTTAACACGAGAGTAATAGTGGTCACTGTGATTTAGATTTTTGAGAGAAAGCAATTGGATTTTCAGACATTGTGAGTTGTGATTGTCAAAATGAAATTAAAGTTTGATTCCAAAATTAAACTACGGAACCTGCCAAAACTTTAGCCTTTCTGTGGTCATCCGCGAGCTTTCCCACAGTTTCACGAATGGCAACATGAGCAGCAGCACAAAGAACTCCCACCTGTCTCATTCCACCACCTAGGGTCTTTCGGAGAATTTTGGCCTGAAGTTTTGTTCAGATTACTGTTAATCTGTTATTGCTTGATCTCTGCAGTTATTTTTTCTATAAAGTTGCATCTCTGCAGTTTAAACTTACAAATTGATTGATCTGACCTTGTCAATGAAGGCCTTCGAACCAACAATAACTGATCCCACGGGTGCACCTAATCCTTTTGATAGGCATACCTAATTCCGGAGAAAATAAATCGACAAAGTCATATGTTAACTACAGCCAAACATATGCAGGTTGTAGATCGAACACGGTAACCTGCAAATTGAAACATACCGAAACTGAATCAGCAGCTTTGACAAGTCTATCTACAGGAACTCCAAGTGCCTGGCACAATGACCACGATGTGTTAATACTTGAGAAGAGGCTAGGACACTCTGCACAAATGTTTATAATTTCTAAGTGTATGCTCCGTGTTTAGACATATGGTTCACCATTCAGAGTTTCAGATGTCAGCCCTCTGAATTTTTCATCTCCGAAGACAGAAACTCTGCTGCAGATAGTTTCAGAAGCAGATGTAAAACTACAGTACATCACATGCATGTACAACACTACTCACCACAGACGCGTTAAAGATGCGAGCTCCATCAATATGAAGCTTCAAGCCATGGCTCTTGGCAATTTCACCAACCATGTAAGTGTATTCTACTGATAAACATTTTCCACCAGAACTGCAGAAACAGATAGAAACATACGAATTAATCAGATGAGAAAAGGTTATATATTCTACTCGGGAGTGTCTCAGATTCTCTCTCTCTCTCTCCCTCCCCCCTCTCTCTCCCCATCCTCCCCACTCCAGCGAGAGAAAGCGGATCTCTCACCGCGGTTTGAGAGGAGGATCAATAGGACGGATGAGAAAATCTCGGGTGTGAGAGACTGAGAGAGATGGGGATGAAACATCCAAATAGGAGCAAGATTGGGAACAGGTGTGCAACTCATTTCCCATGTGTGTTCTCCAAGCAGATCAGCTTGGTCGTCGGGTAATGAAGATCAGGATGCCTGATGGCGGCAACGATCTTGTCAATATCCATGGTGCCGTCGGGGTTGTTCTTGACGGTCCTGGGGTGCACGCCGCCGATGGTGGAGATGCCGCCGTTCTCGTAGACGTGGATGTGCGAGTTGTCGCCAAGGATGGCCTCGCTGCCCCTGACGTCGCAGTGCACGAGGACGGAGATGAGGTTGCCCATAGTGCCCGACGGCACGAAGAGCGCGGCCTCCTTGCCCATGATCGCGGCCATCTCCGCCTCGAAGCGCTGCGCGGTCGGGTCGTCGCCCAGGACGTCGTCGTCGACGTCGGCGGCGGCCATGACGGCCCGCATGGCCTCGGAGGGCTTGGTGACCGTGTCCGACCGGAGGTCCACCACCTTGCTCGCCATTTGTTGTGGTGCTGCTCGAACTAAACCTCTAGCTACAGCTCCCTCTGCTGCAGCGGAGCGACAGTCTCCCGATAAAATACACACGCCAAAGCTCACGAACGAATTGGATGCTCAAATGGTGCACTGACCACTGCGCTTTGTCTTTGAGGTGTGGTTTGCTTTCTCCTTCAAAATTGGCAGATCTTTCGCGCTTTTGGAAGTACCAGTATGATGGCTGATAAATTGATGCTCATTGCACTTGCTGCCAACAGAACACAACACCAACCTGCAATTATAAAGTCCTACATGTTAAAACCATAGGATCGATCTAGTGTAGAATCGAGGGACTTCTAGGTAACCAGTTGATCCTAAACAAGCTCTAGTACATCTAGACAAAGAGATGGAGACATAGAGATAGATAGATAGGGGTTCGAACCTGAGACCGCAGGGGTGGAAAATCCAATGGCCTCCATCAGGTTCGTCGATGCAGTCTGCGCACGGGCAGCGATGGTCGGGGAAGATGTCGGTGTAGTTGCCGTCGTCGGAGCGGGGCGGCGCGGTGAGGCCGACGGTGATGACGGTGGCGGCTTCCCTTCGCTGGCTGCGCACCCTGTTGAGATCGGACTTAGGGTTTGTTGGTGGGGCAGAGTGGCTCACGGCGAACCTCGTGCGATGAGCCGCCGGCCCCCACCACTTTATATAGCACAGTGCGACGGGGGCCCACCAACCATGTAGGGTTGGGCGCCCCCGATCAGGGCGCGTGACCAAGGCCCAATAGGCCGTTGGGCTTATTGGCTGGGAGATCATTCCAACATTCTCCCCTTGATCTCATACTATTACTTTTATCTTTAAACTTTAAACTTCAATCCTCTTCTCCTTTCTCATTTCTTCACAGATGATGCATAGAGCATGTTTCATCATCATGGTCAATTGCCGATAGATTTAACAGCTACAATGCACGTCTCTGATCTGAAATAGATACTTTAATTTTTGGGCCCTTTATAGTCCAGGAATCATAGACTTTCCCTTAAACCCATGCCGGCTACATGTTCTCTGAACATGTTTGGTGGTAAGCCTTTTGTAAACGGATCCGCGAGCATATTTTCGGTACTTATATGCTCAAGACTTATCATTTGATCCCGGACTCTATCCTTCACAACATAATACTTTATGTCAATGTGTTTGGCAGCACCACTTGACCTATTGTTGTGAGCATATTGTACTGCTAGATTATTATCGCAGTATAACTTTAGTGGTCTATTGATGTCGTCAACCACCTTCAAACCGGGTATGAACTTCTTTAGCCAGTTCACCTGCCCCGTTGCCTCATAACACGCTACAAACTCGACATACATTGTGGACAATGTAGTGACGGTTTACTTTGAGATTTTTCATGAAATAGCTCCCCTGCGAGAGTGAATACATACCCAGACGTGGATCTTCTATCATCTCCCGCGTAATCAGAATCTGAATACCCCACTATATGGAGTGAATCAGATCTTCTATACGTCATCATGAGGCCTTTCGTTCCCTGCAAATAACGCAAGACTTTCTTTACCAATTTCCAATGTTCTATTCTAGGATTGCTCTGGAATCTACCAAGTAACCCGGTAACAAATGCCAAGTCAGGGCGCGTACATACTTGAGCATATTGCAAGCTTCCAACGGCTGAAGCATATGTAACCGCTTTCATTTGATCGATCTCATATTGGTTCCTAGGGCATTGAAAATCCCCATATCTGTCGCCCTTGACTATAGGAGCAGGTGAGGGACTACATTTGTGCATACTGAATTTCTTTAAGATTTTCTCTATGTATGCCTTTTGTGACAGTCTTAATATCCCTTTACTTCTATCTCGGTGAATCTCGATCCCTAGAACAAACAAAGCTTCATCGAGATCTTTCATATCAAATTTTGAGGACAAAAACTTCTTTGTTTCCAGTAGTAGACTGACATCACTAGTAGCAAGTAAAATATCATCCACATACAGGACAAGGAAGATGAACTTCCCATTCTTAAACATTGTGTAGACACAATTGTCCTCTACATTCTCTTTAAACCCAAAATTTTTTATTGTTTGATCAAACTTCAAGTACCACTGTCTTGAAGCTTGTTTTAATCCATAAATGGATTTCTTTAGGCAACATCCCATTCGTTCTTTTCCTTCCATGACAAAACCTTTCGGTTGTGCCATGTAAACATTCTCCTCCAAGTCCCCGTTGAGAAATGTCGTCTTTACATCCATCTGATGTAATTCTAAATCGTAATGTGCCACTAATGCCATTATAATTCTGAATGAATCCTTACATGAGACTGGAGAAAATGTCTCATTGTAATCAATCCCTTCTCTTTGCGTAAAGCCTTTTGCCACAAGTCATGCTTTATATCTCTCTATATTCCCTTGAGAGTCAAGTTTTATCTTGTAGACCCATTTACAGCCTACTGTTTTAGCTCCTTTAGGAATTATCTGCAAATTCCAAACTTTATTAGCATTTATAGATCTCATTTCATCTTCCATGGCCTCAAGCCACTTTGATGAATAATCACTTCTCATGGCTTCTTCAAATGAGGTGGGATCATCCTCCATTTGAAATTCCTCAGTGTTACACACTTCATAATCAGTAGGAATAGCTGATTTTCTAACTCTTTGAGACCTTCTAGGGGCCTCCACATTTGGCACATCTTCTATTTAAGGCTGTTGTTGCTCCCCCTCATTTGTGGCAATAGGTTCTACAGGATCCTGAAGAATAGATTCCTCATCATTATTCATTGTTGCCACATACGGGATAACAACAGGTGCTGGCACCACAGTGTCTTGCACTGTCGGTGCAGCGACAGCAGGTAGTGAGAAAAATGGCTCATGAATCATTGGAGTGGGCGCATACACCCGCTTCTCTTCAAGGTCAATTTCTCGAGCTACCATGCTCTCCCTTATCATTTCATCCTCTAGGAAGACTGCATGTCTCGTTTCCACAAACTTTGTATGTCTATCTAGACAGTAAAAACGAAAACCTTTTGACTTTTCTAGGTAACCAATGAAATGACAACTCACTATTTTTGGATCTAGCTTACCAATATTTGGGTTAAATACTTTAGCCTCAGCAGGACTCCCCCACACACATAAGTGGTTTCGTGAGGATACTCTTCCTGTCCACAACTCATACGGTGTTTTAGGCACCGACTTACTTGGTACTCTATTGAGAATATGAATGGCGGTTTTTAACGCCTCCATCCACAGGCTCATCGGTAAGGTGGAGTAACTTATCATACTGCGCACCATATCCATCAGGGTACGATTACGCCTTTCAGCTACTCCATTCTGTTGAGGTTCGTCCGGCGTAGAATACTGGGCTATTATGCCATTCTCCTGTAAGAACTTTGCAAAAGGTCCAGGAACTTGGCCATATGGGGTATGCGACCGTAGTACTCTCCCCCCATGGTCGGACCTGACTATCTTAATCTTTAAATTGTGTTGGTTTTTAACTTCTGCCTTAAATATCTTAAATTTATCCACTGCTTCTGTTCTTTCTTTGATTGGATAAATATAGCCATAACGGGAGTAATCATTTGTGAATGTTATGAATGAATCAAAACCATCCACACTCTTTATAGGAAAAGGACCACAGATATCTGTGTGAATAATCTGTAGAATTCCTGCGCTTCATTTGGCATCTTTCTTAATTTTCTTTATATACTTTCGTTTTATGCAATCTCTATATTGTTTCTAAATCTGAGAGCTCTAATGGAGGAAGAATATCATTCTTAACTAGTCTTTCTATTCTTCCCTTCAAAATATGGCCTAAACGACAGTGCCATAATTTCGACAACGCATCGTGAGCTTTCTTTCGTTTTCTGTTTGCATTGTTCGATGAGGATACATTCTCATTCACATCACATATGGAATTCACATTTTCACGAAGTGATAACAAATAAAGCTCGTCTTGTCGGAAGGCAAGACCAATACATCTATTATTAAACAATATCTAACATTTGCCATTTCCAAAATGACAATCATAACCATCATGGTCCAACTTTGATACACTAATCAAGTTTCTTTGCAAAGAAGGTACATAAAGAACATCTCTAAGAAAAAGTATGAAGCCATCAGCAAGCTCTAGCGGAGGATCACCAACGGCCTCAACATCTGCTTGTACTCCATTTGCGACTTTAATGAAACTTTCGCTTTTTTGCAAAGTTCTCATCGAACGGAATCCCTATAAAGAATTAGCAACATGAATTGTTGCACCTGAATCAATCCACCAAGTAGATTTTAAAAACTTGACATACAAGGATTCATTTACGAACGTAATAATGTTATCACCTTTATTTTTCATAATCATTTTTAGGAAATCGAGACAATTCTTCTTATAATGTCCCGTCTTCTTACAATAGAGACACTAGTCTTTATCCACTGGAAATTGCTTGTTCTGAGACTGTTGCATGGGACCCTTTCCAGATGACTTGGAGGAAGAGCTGTTATTATAGTTCTTTTTCTTATTATCTTTTAGGTAGTTGACAGTACCACCCTGTGAAACTTTTATTCTTTCCTCCTCTTGCACACACATGGCTATGAGCTTTTCTAAATCCTATTTCTCGGGCTGTATGTTGTAATTAACAACAAAAATGTCAAATTCTTTTGGCAAAGAAGTAAAAATCAAATGAATAAGAAACTCATCCTTGAGAGCCAAATCCATTGGTTTGAGCTTAAATACCAAATTGCTCATTCTCAGTATGTGCTCTCTAATGCCACTGCCACCACCAGAGTACCTTTCTGTCACCAGCTGCTTGATCAGTTGGGTTGCATATATCTTTGAAGAGCCAGTGAACTGACTCTTTATTCTTTCTAGGTACTTTGTAATCGTGTCACAGTCTGGAATTGAGCCCACTATTGCAGGCTCAATTGTATTCTTTATCATAACCAAACATTTCTTATTGGTTGTGACCCACTTTCTATGTTCAAGGTCAAAAGACATCTTTACAGGAGCAAAGTCCCGCTCTCTGTTCTGCCATGCAGCATCAGT